TTGGTCTTTAACCACTTTCTCCATTATTCGGGATATTACCGGTGTTATATTGATAGGTCTATAGTTGCATACACTGGTTTTGGCCCCTGCTTTGTGCTTAGGTAATATGTATGTGGTTTTCCACACTTCAGGATAAGTTCCAGTTTCTAATGAGAGAGTAAATATTCTAAGTAACAAGACTACCATTTCCGTGCTACCATTTTTGTACATGACAGATGGTATGTCATCTGTTCCAGTACTACCATTAGACTTCAAAGTCTTAATCGCTGAGTCTATATTTTGCATATTAAAGTCTATTTCGCCTAATTTGTGGTTGCTTTTGCAAGTCATTTGGAAATTTGGGGTTGGGTGCACTCTGGCGTCATTGCAAAACCACTCATTGAGGAGTTCGCTTATAACCTGGGGATCATTGTGTATTATACCCTTATGCTCCAAGCTGCTTACAGTATTGTCTTTACTACTTTTTAGACGTCTCTGCAATATCCTACAAAGTTCCTGAGTTTTGGAGTTACCCACAAGCGCTTTATTTTCTTCAAGTTGTGACCTCATTTTGTGTTTCTCTTCAAGCCCTTTAAGAGTTTCATGTATTTGGTTTAACGCATTAAATTCCTTAAATACATGGTATTTCCTTTTCAATTTCTTTAGTTTTAGTCGCGTTTTGCGGTCGATAAATGGAGTTGGTGTCTTTAGAGCAGATTTTAGGGGCGCGATTATGTCTCTTGCTGAGCCAATTGTTTTGTAGAAAATATCGAGTGATACTTCTAAGTTATTGTTAATGAAGTATTCTTCCCAGTCAGAACTTTTCAGCAGATCTGATAGGAATTCCCAATCGGCATTCTTATAGTCCCTATACTGATAGTGCACCGGGGAATTTTTAGGTGTGTGTTTAGTTGTTAGTCGGAATGGTAGCGTGCAGTACAATATGTTGTGATCACTGTTATCAAGTTTATTTCCTACCTCTATCGAGATGGGCTCAATTTCATGACAAAGGATTAAGTCAAGAGTGTTTTCATTTCTTGTAGGGAGGCGTACGCACTGCTTCCATCCGCCTACGTCTATAGCTTGTAGTAGCTCGTCATGGATTCTAGGTCCTGTACAGGTATCCCAGTTTACTCCAGGTAGGTTGAAATCGCCACAAACTACTTTGTAGTCAAAGTCCAGCGTAGCTGCATGCTCTAGTATTTCTCCAATAGCTATATCAGTCATTTCAGGGCTATTAGGGGGTCTGTATAAACATCCCACGAGAATTTTATTTTCGTTTGTGTGGATGCTTATCCACTTAGATTCAGGGAGTTTGTCAGTAGTTGGGTTATTGAAAGTATTGGAGTTAGTGGATTTAGAGGCATATATTAAGCAGCCGCCTCCTCTTTTGTCAACTCTATCGTTCCTATAGATGTCGTAGTTGTCTATTACTAGCTTTGAGTCAGGTATATCAGTAGTAAGCCAGGTTTCAGTCACCATTATTAGTGTTGGCCGTTCTATGTATGCCAGGCAGCGAAGCGATGTTATTTTGTTAAGGAGGGATCTAGCATTCAGGAGCATAATCGTTAGTAAACCAGAGTTATTGGGGGAGAGGTTAACATGGTTACTTGTTACTATTCCTACGTTATGTTTGGAGGGGCTCTGAGGTGAGACAGAGTCAGTGTGTGTACTATTTCCTGGATGAATTGTGCAGCGAGTGGGGCTATTGTTTGCTGCATCCGAAAATAATCCTGTTGCATGTTTAGACTTTTAGCATCCATGGGTGGGCATCTGCGTTCATTTACTGGTGATATATAGTTTGCTTGACCTAGGTACCCTGTGTTAAGATTACCTTGGTAGTTGTACCTCATGGGTCTTACATAGTCGTATGCATATTGGCTCACATCACATGTGTGAGTGAAGTTATTGAGAGGGTCATGTGTCGATCTATACTCATTATGTTGCTGAGGTTCAACATAGATAGTGTGAGAGTTTGGAGAAGAATATGCATTAATATGGTGCCTATACGAGCCCCGTTTAGTGCTCCTTATATCCTGATGATCCGTTCTACGTTGCATTCCCAAGTTATGTGCGTTGCTAGGTATATTACTCCTAGTTCGGGAAGGGGTGTTCCCATTCACATGATGGATGACTTTTTTGGGAATATGGTTTTTTACCCATGCATTGTCTTTTTTTAGACTGGCATGTTGCTTATTAGACTTATTGAGAGGGAGGTATGTCGACGTCTGGAGTGGGACTCTAGGCTTTGTCGTCTTTCTTGCAGTTTCTACTGCGGGACTCTCGGGCTTGCATCCAGATTGAGTGTGGTCTGCCAGTGGTTTCTGGTCAGACATAGTTTGTGAGTCAATATCAACCTCATGTATGTCAGCAGGTTTTCCAGATGTGCTCTCATGTACTTTAGGATTGCACCCAGTGACACTGCTCTTACTGAGTTTCGAGTCGCTTTTACTTGCCGATTTTTTTTCCAACACTATACAGGTGACTTGCTGTGCTTCAGTGTCCGTCGACACTTTAGCACTGATACCAGGTGTAGTTCTCGGTGTGGTCAACTTTCTATCGAAGGAGTTCTTGGTCGCTTGCCTTTGGTTAGTTGTTTTATCCGAGACTACTTTAATAGTCTTGAATTTAGTGGCAGTAGCCAGAAGATCTTCGGCCTTCTTAAATCGTTCAGCTATTATGTAGCTGTCGAACCTAAAGAGTATAGGACAGGGATGCTTTAGGTCTTTCTTACTTAGGCGAATGCACTGACAAGGTGCACTCAAGAGATTTGCAGCCTTCAGCAATGAGTGCTGGACCGACTTAATGGGCTCGCTATCTGGTACATTATACACTATAGCGTTTTGTTTCGAAGCCAGCCTTTTAACAACTTCGCTGGATAGAAAGTCAATGGCGTTTTCTAGCTCCTTCGCATTTTCTGAGTCAGTAGGCGTCATTCTAGAGGTCATATTGAAAAGCTTTAGGATTGTAGGATCCTGCAGTTCCTTTTTCATAAGTGAGATTGTTTCGGGTATACATTCAAATGAACTTAATTTCGTTTTTAATTCATCAATCTGTAGCTGCATCTCTTTAATAATGCATGTTAAGTAAGAGAGCTCCACTTTTTCAGACAGAACATCTTCCACCTGTATTACAGGGGTCAGAGTTATGTTCGAGTCTTTTCTGTTGGGTGAACTACTAATAATAAGGGGTGGTAATGTGTTATTAGACGAGCTGGTGCTATTTTCTAAATTACTGGTGTTCACACGAACACTCTTTTTAGAATTTCGGCCCATCGTTATTAAAGATTGATCAACAGTAAGCAATAAATGAATATAAACGAAAACACGTGCAAAAAGCGTCACCTGGTTCGAACGTACCGGGTTCATGGTAAAGTTATAAGGTTGCAGTCATTTTGTCTATGGGAACAATATGATAACTAGTCATTCAATGGAGCACATCAAGAAATATAGAAATATTGTCTTCGCATTAACAAAAAAACCCAAGTATGTTTTGGATGGATTACAAATACTTGGGAAAAAATAAAGCTTGAAGTAATTCTTCCATATAACTTTGGTGTGTACGGCATCGAGTCTTATTCTTGATTTATATCCAAATTTGATAATAATTTAAAATAAGTAATACACTTGTATACTTTTTTCAGCATTTTCTTCGTAACATCACATAATAATAATGACAGTTTATATTTTCTTATAAACGGGTGTTTTCAAGAAATGCAAGCTATTTTTGCAGACAAGATCAGTTATGTTGTAAGTTACAATCGTGAAGTATTATAAATCAATACTTTTTTATTAGTATAAAGGTATATTTCACAACTGTAATCCAGGTTGCGTCATTGGTGAAGGCAATGCGCAATTCACGAGGGAATTGTGAGATATAGGGCCAATAATGTTTGCAGATCATTTGTCATTGTAAATGGGTAAATATCTTCATTCTCATTCAGAAGGTCAAATGGAAGCTGAAATGGTGAGAGACAAAAGAAGACAAACAACAACAACGCAAAAGAAAGCAAGTGGAGTACTTAGGGAGTGATCAATATGTATATATCCATTTATATTCTGTTTAGTAATTATAGTTATTTTGGTGCACTAACTAACTATTCCCGTGATGCTAACTTTTATATTGTGTGAACTAATATTATTGTCCTGTGTAAAAATGTCTATCATGTACTTCCAATAATATAAAAATTTATAATTGTAGTTTGTTGTAACTACACGTTTAATGAACTTAAAATATCTATGTTGGACGAAAAAGTGGGTGTAGGATTCAGATGCAGAAGTGCACTGTCATCTTTGAGCAGTCTGGTGACTGAGGAGATGAACACTGCGAGTGTGTTTGCATCGCGCACATCAGCTGGTAGTCTATTCCAAATGACTGAAAACTTATTTAAGAAGAAATTATACCGCATGTAAGTCTGACAATGCTCTATAGCAACTAGGTTGTGATGATTTCTAAGATTGTAACTGATGACAGCGGTAGGTTTAATTATTGACTCGGAGGAGTGCACGATCAGATTAGTTAGCTTGTAGTAAAAAATCAGGTTTAGCTTAAGACGTCTTTTCCAGAGTGGTTCTAAACTTAGTCTGTCGCAACGTTCATAGTATTGGAGACCACTTTCTAAACCAATAATTCTTAAGGTGAATTGCCGTTGCACTCCTTCTAACTTAAGCTTGTCAATCTGTCTGAGTCCGCTAAGAATAAACGGGCAGTATTCTAAAATAGGTCGGACACATACTTTATATAATAAAACCCTAGCTTCACAACAAAAGAAATTGCGAGTTATGCATCCTAGGAGCCTTCGTGTTTTACGTCTGGCATAATCAGTTTGTTCAGAGAACGTTAGGTTACTAGAGTATCTGATACCGAGATCTACGACTGAGTTGAGCTTGGCTAGTTTACGCCCATTTATTTCAGGATTCAGGTCAAGGTTACTGTTTCCGATACAAATCCAGCCGCATTTATCAATGTTGAACTTTAGACAGGATTCAGTACACCATGTTGCGAGACCACTTAGTTCAAGATGTACTTTATTTACCATATCGCTTGGTTCATGAGCGTAGCAGGAGTAAACGACTTTGAGGTCGTCAGCATATAGGAATGATTTACCTGAGGTGAAGCAGTTGCAAATGCTGTTGATGTATACTGTAAATAAAAGTGGACTTAGGACACTACCTTGCACAACCCCACTTGTGATCTGCCTAGGATGAGACAATACTGATCCAACCTTGGTTATTTGTACCCTATTGCTTAGAAACGATTTTAACCAGCTAAGTAATGGATTGCGAATCCCACATGAATACAGCTTCGCAAAGAGAATACTGTGAGATACCATGTCAAATGCCCTGGATATATCGAAGTAGAGAACAACAACTCGCTTACGTGCTTCGCGACTACTAGTGATGCAGTTGAAAAAGTCGAAGTGGCAAGTAACGCAAGACCTATTTTTGAGAAATCCGTGTTGAGACCTTGTAACAAGATCTTCCTTAAGTAGATAGTCTGACAACTGATCTTTGACGACTTTCTCCATGACTCGCGAGACAACTGGGGTTATATTTATAGGTCTGTAATTGTGGACGTTTGCCTTATCACCGGATTTATAGTGTGGAATTATGAAGCTAGTTTTCCACTCATTAGGGTAAGTGCCAGTGTCCATAGATATTGAGAAGAATTTAAGAAGTAGTAGGGGTATATCACACCCACTGTTTTTGAAAATTATAGAAGAAAGGCCATCTGGTCCCGTGCTAGTGGAAGGTTTCAGGCTTTTAACTGCTTGTTCTATTAATTGGTCGGTGAACACTATGCTTCCGAGGAAAGAGCTAGTAAGGGGGCCGGTTTCACCAGGAATGTGCGTTTCTAAACTGAAGTTTGCAAACCACTCACTGAATATTTCACAGATGGTGGCAGGCACATTGTAGATAACTTTGTCATGAAGTAAATAGGAGATGTCCCTCGTCGACTGCATTCGCTTTTTAAGAAGT